GACCACCATGGCTCCACTGAGGACACGAGCGCTGGTCACTGATGACCACTATGGCAATCAACCTGCTAATATCGTATAATTGAAGTAACTCATCTGTCAAATAAACTGGCCCCGTCTGGACCTAACCTAACCTAACCTAACCTAACTTAACCTAGTGTCAATTAATATTCGTCTTATATTAACCATACTCTTTAAAATTTGAACAATATAAATAAACAGAGAACTCGGAACAAATAACATTAATAAATATTCACTATCTCTTTTTCATCATTATATCCCAAAAATAATGTGAATTTTATCCTGTCTCCCTCAGTGCGCTATATAAAAATCACGTGACAGCGAACGTGCCAATAAATAAATAACTCCACGCGTGTTTACCTTGAAAACATTTCGCGGCGGAAGAACCGGTAATTTCGAAAAATCGATTCTTCTTTCGGATTACAACGCGATCCAGACGCGACTGTCTGTGTGAGTAATAAATAACTGCAGCGATTAGCCGATTCCGATCGCTATCTGTTTTCAAATTTTAAATCACCTTTGTGACAAGGCGCGCGTACGGCGTGTTCATGCACAGAGAACGCGCGGGTACGTGCCCCGAATCGAAACGGAGCATAAACTTTGCCCCCGAAACGACGTACGTCCGATTGTAAAACGTATGGCAGCGTTAATTGAAATTTAAATTCGCCAGACACATTTGCACCGTTCAACGGAGACGCGCCGATGAAATATGCATGCTTTTTATGCCCACTGTAATTTAACAAGCTGAAGTAGCAATCAATTATTGAAATTAATCACCTGCGCCAAACGAACCGGTAATCTATTGCCAGCCCTGCACCTATCATTGCTCGTGTCTCTAAAGGGTGAATGAAAAATTTTAAAAAATTAAAAAATACAAATAGAAATAAAAATAAATCGAATTTGGGAACTTGCAGAAGGGACCAGTTTCGAGCTAGATTTCTTCACTGGATCGGTCAATTCCTTTCATAAACTTTTATGTGAATATGTGTGAAGGCGGAGGACGAGAGGTTTTTAGTGAAAAGAGCACTACGTTTTCTTAGCAGGACTTTATTATATTCGGGGGGCCAGATGCGGAAAACTGACGGCTAGCTTTTTGGGTAAAACCCGTGGTCGTTGGATAGGCCTAAACGAACTGACTCTTTTTCGCCGCTCATTAGGCGTCGAAATTATGGTGGTAAAGACATAAACCAGGCCCCCATTGACCGGAATCCTCGATGTCTCGAAGGAGTCGAAAATATTTATAAGGAACCTTCGTTTTCCGCATCTGGGATGTGTCCCTAGATGTCTAATTTATACTGTCACTTCTTCATTCCTATTTGATACGTAACGTTTTCCTATATATATTGTCCTCCGTATAGAATTTGTTAAATCTACGAATGTACACCAATGGGGCTACCCCATTATTATAACACTACTGGCCATTAATATTAATTGTATTTAAATAAATACGTAAATAAATAAATAAAATAAGGGAATCTCAAGAAATTTCATGCTCGTATCGTTATTTGCCTTTGTTCCGTGAATTTTACTCGTTGTGTCACACGTCTGTCATATTAATCGTGTAATTGGAACGCGGATATAAATCCTATTAATCAATTATATGGAATACTCTGGGTACGAATATGTTTATGTTTTCCATCGAAAATTACGATCTGTTGCAGCGATTATTGATAAATCTGCGTCGAGGAATGTAATTGGTTGCCTGAGTAAAATGGCAATTTTGATAAAAAGTATGCGAAAAGCGTACGTACGAATTTTAATAGTAAACCTATCAGTGTACAAATGGTGGTTTTTAAATTTTAATTATAAATTTGGTATTCGAAGTTGTCACTTTGACCACTTGTCTTTGCAACTTTTCTTTTAATTGAGGTATAATTGATTTTTTGATATCTCATCGTGTTCTATTTTTTTTCTTTTTTTAAAATGTTTTTTTTTATTTTATTTTTACTATCATTATTTTTATGGTAGGTTTAATGTCAACTAGGAAATTTAACTAGGATCGAAAATGTCAGCTATGACTATTAAATTCAGCAATTATACTTTCCCTCTTACAGAGAAGTGGGAAGGAGGGTACACACCGGTATTAAAAATAAATCAGAGCGGTACATACTCGACCGCGTAATTAAAGTAATTAAAAAATCGTTAAATTTTGACTGGAAAGTTGTCCATGTTCGAGAACCCGTAACTTCGTCGAAGAAAATCCTACATCAGTGAACCTAGATTCATTTTAAAGATCGAGGCTTCCACTTTCAGACTCATTAATTGAATTTCTAAAATAATTTTTAATTCCTACACACCGGCTAAAAACTGATGGTGCCGTTTTTCCCTAAAAATTCTATAAATTCAAACGACTCTACGAAAAATTTGAAAAATTTTTCTCACGATTCTTTTTGGAACGAGCTTATAGAATAAACTCTCCTCTTTCTAACGACCGCTAAAACATTCAGATGGCATTCTTTCCCGCTGTTTTATCGCATTTCTTGCGCCCGCCTGCAACAACACCGTGCATACCTATCAAGCGGGAAGCAATAAACGAAGGGTTTCTTAGTGAAATGAACTTAAATATAGCGGGATAGGGGAAGAATTTTATGCGGAGTCACTTAAATGCACGGTATCCCGTGAAACACAAGGGAAACGGACGCGACATGCGGACCAGGTCTCTCAAAAACGGGCTGCAAATGAGAGCCGGAGAGCGGTGCGCGTTTCAAGCATAATCCAGGTCGTCGTGACGCGGACCGACTATCTGTCGTTAAGAATGCAATAACGGGACGGCTTATCCCGTCATAACAATGTCCCGTGGATGGTGGCTGGTGCGACTGGAATTGAATCGACCGCGGAGGAAACGGCAGCCGTTCGTTTTACGCGTATGCAAATTTTTATGCGGCGCGCTTTACGCGCGGTAAGAACACACTGTAGATAAACGCGATCCGGTGCACGCGGGCATTTCGATGCATCCGAGGGTTGGAAAAGGGACGCTCGAGGGCAGAGCCGCCATTGATGCAGCGAAAATTTTAGTTCAGGACCACGAGGGAAAATTTTTAAATTCGGTCAGACGCGTGTTGGCTACGCTCCTTTGTTAATCTCCGCCATTTCTGAGCGACAAATCGAGATTTGTCTCGTTACCGGGATTCACCCTTTCACTGCCACGACGAAATCGCGTGTTTCGCTTTGGACGCCATGGGAGTATTTTTATTATTCAAAGCATGCAATGACAAAATAATAATAAATTGGTGATATGAGACAGCATTTTTACCCAATGGAGTATTTATCTTATTGACAGTCACGGGTGACCACTGTGGAGCTTTGGTAATGGTTGACAATTGACAACTGTCAATTTTGATTCAATTTTTACAATTATAAGTAGTTCAAGAGCTCAATGACCACCGTGGTGCCTTGGTAAAGGTTGACAATTGACTAACTGTCAATTTTGATTCAATTTTTACAATTATAAGTAGTTCAAGAGCTCAATGACCACCGTGGTGCCTTGGTAAAGGTTGACAATTGACTAACTGTAAATTTTCATTCAATTTTTACAATTATAAGTAGTTCAAGAGCTCAATGACCACCGTGGTGCCTTGGTAAAGGTTGACAATTGACTAACTGTCAATTTTCACTCAACTTTTACAATTTCAATTATTTCAAGCGTACCGGTCATCAATAACCACCGTGGCGCCTTGGTAAAGGTTGACAATTGACAATTGACCAGCTGTCTTAACTTATTTTTTACCGAGAAAAATTCTTTACATGCCCTATGTACCACGAGGGATCATTTGACCTCTTATGGTAAGAATATGTATGTACAAAGTACCGATACGTTTAGTGTTAATAAAGGATTTGGAATTTGGTGGTAGAAATGTATATATAAAACGGAAGAAGACCGTGAATTTAGTGCTGCGATTTCTAGGCGATCTTTGGTCACGAAAGGGGAGCTATAATGTTAAGAACGTCGTGAAGTAATTCAAGCTGTCCATGAACCCCCGTGTTCCCTTATTTACCGAGTTTAATATCGCCACTACGGGGTGAGCGTAATGAATTCCACTTTGTCGCGTTTTTCCTTATAATTCTGTTCCGGATGACCTGTCAAACTGAAGAAGACGTTTCTCTGCAGGACTTCCTCTGATATTTTGCTTGTATCCAACGACAGCGCGCCATTTTGTTCGCGTATATCTCGAAATACTTCGAATAATTTTCCACCTTGAAAGTGACGGAAAAGGAGACATTAAAATAGCGAAATATAGACACTCAAGAAGGCTAATTTCTTCAACCTTAGTTCCTCTAATAGGAAGGTTCCAAGCGATCTGACCCCGCGTTAAAAGTAGCCAAGAGCACTGTTAGACCTCAATTACGTTAGTGGTGCCGTTTACTCGGCCGAAAGGTGGAGTTAAGCACGCAGAAAACGCGACAAGCTTTATGGAACGATCAATTTTAATGGCTCCATTCGTCTCGCATTTACCACTGTAAGCTAGCGTATTTACGAGAACGCAATGGCGCCGCTGGCCGAGCTTAAAGAGATACGAGCGATCGAACCCCGTGATAAAAGGAAGATCGAAGCTTGGAAACTTGGCCCGAGTGCAACCGGCAACCGTTCCTCAACTTTTCACCTTCCCTGATCCGCGGTAACCTCCTCTGGCCCGGTTAATAAAGTCCACCTTGGACTTTCCTTCCCTCCCCGAAAGCTCGCGGCACGTTCCAAGGGACGACTAACTCTCTCGGATAGCCAAGTTTCGAATGTTCGAACGCGATGACTCGAGGAAACGATACAATCGATTTAACAGCGGGTATCGTGAGCGTGATAGGGATCGTTGGTTGCCGAAGGTTTACGAATTATTCAGAGGAGTTTATCAACTTGGCCTGAATCCTGCGGCGCACAAGCCAGCAGTTTCCACGGTAAATCACGCGTGTCGAACCGATTCCTGTCGGGAAAGCATAAATATCGGAGACATTAGGATGTAAGCCAAGTAATAATTTCATTTGTGTTCCAGGACTCTCGTTAGGCGGTGGCCTCATAGTCCTTGCCTCTGCTTTATCGGATGCTTCGTTGGAGCTGCCGGGAAAGTATAGTCTGCCCTCCACGTCGAGCATGCAAGCCGACGACAACGGTCTGCCACAGTACCACTATGGCTGGTGTCTTCAGTTGTCCGGACTGGCATTGATTTTGGCAGAAGTGGCAGCTGTTCTCACCATGTCCGGTTATATGGCCCGTTTCTCCACGGTGGAGGAAATGGTACGATCTCGGTGATTATTTAGCAACGAAGAGTGAAATGGTAGAGAGAGTTTGTTACTGGCTTGCTTTTTCAAGGTGAGAGTCATGGTACCCGGTGCAGAGAGGAAATTGAGAGAACAGAGAGGACTGAGTTCGGAGTACCTAGTTAGGGCTCATCAGAAGTCGCCTGGACCTCCACAGGCTCGAGGATTCGGGCAACCGTCGAAAGGTAACGTTGTTTCGCGTTAGGAATGGTTTATGTAGCTAAAGGCGAATTAATGATCACGCATTTGTCACTCTTTCAGCGTCACAAAGAGGTCCCGAGGAAGGGACATCCCTATTATGCAAAACTGCACCGGATATCTGTGCTTCGAATCCTCAAGCTATCAGCTACGTCGATAAGGCAGACCTCTCTCACGTTTTACCAGCGTATCCTGACTCCAAGAACCCGGATCCGAGATATGCCTTCGGGGATAAGTCAGAAGCCAGTGTTATCGACTCACGGTTAAGTGGCTTCGCCGATAAAGGAGGATTGATCGATTCGAGAATTTTGTCCGACTCGCGTCAAAACATGATCGCGTTCACGGAAAATAAGGAACATCCTGTTGGTCAGGAACCAAGATACACAGAATTTTCTCCTAGAACGACGGAGCAGAGCGTAGTTGATTCTAGAACGAGTGGCTTTACCGAGAAGGAAGGTCTCCTGGATTCCAGGCTCAGCGGGTATGGGGAGAAAAATGAATCGTTACTGGATACTCCTCCGTTCAGTTACGACTCGCGGTACAATACTCTAGCTGGGCAGACAGTGCCCATCACGTTGAAGAATCAGAACACACCTGCCTCCGCGATTCAGTCTCAATACATCTATCAGAACTTTGGCACGATACACTCTGGAATTCTGAGGGTATCCGAGCCAGGCACCAGCTCCAGTTCGAACTCGAGTCAGAGGAGTATGACGCTGCAGAATCCCAAGAGAAAATCGCAAATCGCTCAAAACACTTTCAGCACGATGGAATGCGAGAAGAGGAAACGTGGACCAGGCTTGGCTGGTAAGACAGGTTTCTACACAGGCAGCGCCGTATGACCACCACCTCCACCTCCGACGCCCAGGTAACTGCAAGAGGAAGAAACGCCACTGTAATCCTGTATCGCAAGGAACGAAGCTCAACTAGTGGCGTGTAACCTAATTCGTCGGAGGGATGTACTTTACCATGGTAATCCTAACTAGAGAAATCTGCGTTATCGACGGACTCTGTTCTACGTATTATCAACCGAGTCGATATCAGCGGAGTTATCCTATGAGAAGATGCTATTCGTAAACGATTATACAGTTCCCTGTGACCTCGTTATCTACAGACGAACCGGAAGTGGAGGATTATTCCGTCGATCGTGCGGAAACTCGTTGCAGGACTCGATGCATACTGACGAGGAACGAACTTGTACATAAGCTATCTGTAATAAGGTCGAAGCTGAAATCCTCCTCCGCGCTAGGGGGGCACGAAACGAATTATATCCAAAGCGACGTGTCGCACAGTCATTATAACAGCCGACAAGTTAATCGATAAAATAAGGAGAAAACAAGATTCGTGGTAGCGTGCATAAACTAGGCGTAGCGTTAAGTGGTATAGGCAACGTATCTTAAGAGGATTAAAGTATAGGCTCGATTTTACCAGAGAATTTATACCTTTTACTTGCGGAGCCGAGATCGCGTTGCCATTATGAGAGCTAGTCGATCTTTCCTTGCGTGTCGATGCTGAAAGAGCGATGGAGTTACAGGGTTACAGTCGATTGATCCGCTTAATCACTTTACTCCGTGGCAGAATTTCAACACGTTTATTATCATAAATTTCATCAGACCCGCACCTTTTCGCCAGTTATGGTTTTATACATAAGGAAACCCGATAGACGTCCATGATTCGCATGGAAAGTGGATCAAGAGACATGGAGACCCGCAACTCGACGTTAAATTTATCCTGAACTAATCACGTAATCGCGTTCACAAGCTGCATAACCAATCGAACCGAGCTATAAGTCGAAGAGGAATATTAATGTAGTCGATATGCTGTAACGTATACTCGGTGGTCATGGAATAGTTACGAATACTCAATCGGGCGTAAACTCGTCTGACCATTTTCGGGAAAGAGGGAATGTCATGAGAGAGATAGAGAGAGAGAATTTCGAATAGCCGTTTGACGAATCGTGTAAAAGATTTTACCATAGGAACGGATCATCGACATGAAGCACAATAAATATTATATATATTATATATATATGGAAAAATAAATGGATTAGAGTACAAACATTTTCTTACCATTATCGAACCGTGTATTTAGCATTCGCTTAGCTGTGTATGATTTAATAATCGTTTCCCTTGATCGTCACTTATCTATGGCAAAGTCTTTCATTGCGTTCGCCAATCTTGGACATATCAAGAAAACGATAACGTTTTTAACCCAATCGATACTAAAATCGTGACTTCAAACTAACTTCCTATTTCCCACGGGGTGTTCGGCAGGGGTCGAGAATATTTTAACATCTCATAGGGCCCCGTGAAAATTACACTCTCCGTGAAAGGATCGTACGTTGTTGTGTATGTAACTTTGCGACTTGCGTATATTAACGTATACAGATCGTAGGTAAATGTAATAAAACGTTCATTTTTCTTTCTACACGCGTTGTTTCCTTACCCTCCTACTCAATAAAGCTGTACGAATTCTTGTCGTTGTGATTTATTCGATGATACTGCAATAAAATGTGTTCCCTTATTTCTGCATTTATTCGCTTCAATTTGCAAATTTGTTAATGACGAAGGCTATGCAGAATCATAGTAAATCCGTAGCCTGTACGTACGTGTATGTATATATTTAACATTGTACTTTCTCCTACTCGTAAATTTGTTAAATCGTCTAAGATGTTACATTCTTCTGTCGCTTTGATATTGTACCGTCGTAACCACATCTTTTTAACCAACCATGCTTTCCCATTATTCTCCGGATTTTTAAAATGTTATGTATAACTCGACACCAATGTTTCACCGATTATCAGCTTACTTTCGATCAGAGAAATGTTCGGGATTCTTTTCTGCGATGTGCATTGGGCGATTTTTGTAGTTACTTGTTATGAACACGAATTTGTGGACAGAAATTCTGTGTTACCCTGGAATTTTAATGAAAATTGTCGATTTTTGAGAAGAACGAAGTATTGCGCGAGAAGTAACAATCTTAGAGAGCTCTAATTGTTCTTGAATGAAAGAGGAGAGATCACTGGATACATCATTGTCTATGGTTGTAATATTTTGAAGCTATAAATTTCTTTCAGTCTGTGAGAATTGAAGAAGGTTTTGATAATCATGCTGGATAATTTCTTCAGAAATGTATGAACAAAGTATAGCAAATTCGTGGAAGATTCCTTGAAACCTAGGGTAATACAGCAATTCTGCTTATGAATTGATGTTTAAAACGAGTGACTACAAGAATCGTGCAATGTATATTAGAAAAAGAAAGGAAACTTAAAATTTGTTCGACAGTGTAAATGTCTATCTCGTTAATAAAAATGACCTGAATTGAAAAATAAATCTGTACAAGAATATACGAGATGAAATCAATAAAATTTTCCCAATCAAGTTCTTCAGTACCTCCTATTGATATTCACGTTCAAGCTTCCAGAGGTTCATTCTACTAAGACGAATTTTACCAACTCGAATCTCACGTGTCCCACTCGTTGCTTTCCAAATCGTTTTAACAAGTAAAGAACGAATAAAAATCGTATATTCAAAATTATCGACCTGGACAAAACCTGTGACTATTCAACGATAAAGTAGACGTCCAAAAAGCGACCTCGTGCCTTGAGAGAAACAAAGATGGTTGAGGGTTCTGAGTTCCTAATTAGAGCACCCCAAAAGTCTCCTAGACCTCCACAGGCTGCAAGGTTCGAGCAATTTTCAAAAGATCATATTAACTGAGATTATAAATAGTTTATGAAGCTCAAAGAGAATCGACAACCATGGATCTATCATCTTCCCAGCATCCCAAATAGTTCCCGAGTAAGAGACATGTCTGCATGCAGAACTGCACCGACATCTATGCATAGAATCGTCAAGCTATTACCTCGGTCGGTAAGGCAGGTCCCTCTCGCGTTTTACCATCGTATCCGGATTCCAAGAACGCGGATTCGAGATACAGGTTATGTACGTATATCGGGAGGCTGTTTCAGATGGCTCTGTTCGCAAGGAGCTTCCGGAGGAGACTCGTCATCGAGCTTTTTCGCCAGATGGCAGGTCCGTGCTTATGTCGCGAGACTCTGCTCCTAATGTTTAATTAACGCCGCATAATTGCCCGGCCAATTAGCCAACGCAGTTTAATATTAATCTGCAATTTGAATTCATTTCGATGCGTTTAAAATTTATTGAATACATAATTAATGCCGCGTGACGCGAATGCAGATACGATGCACGAGCCGCCCCCGGCACTTTGCACGCTCTCTCGATGATTTATTCCGACAGTCCTCCGAAAGTTAGCCCGAAAAAACCCCATGAAAATAGTTAATCGTTCCCGAAAGCGTTGCTCGCGGAACGGCAGCGACGTTCAAAACAGCCACGGCCATTCTACGGGTACGAAAGCTCGGATGTGCGGATAATACGGTGTGTTCGGGGATTTGCACGCGTCGGGTAGTTTTAAACGGCCGCTCTTAATTAATGGATTTAGTCTGTTTCTTCCGTATCGTGGCCGATGAATGTGATTTACGTCGCCCGAGGTCAACCGTGTTTCTTTCGAGGAAAGTGCATGGCAATTGAGTAATTTATGGCCGTGTTGGATAGAATCGGGCAACGCGTGATCATCCAGTCGACTTTTCGAATCTTCCTTTCTCGGTCGCCATTTTAGAGAGCTCGGCATGCCTCCGTGACGCGTGTAAGCGATTCTCCCATTACTATAATCTCATTGCCATAATACATCGAACAATTCCGGTTGTTATCCTAGTTTTGGTTTATGCTCGAGTCACTAGCAGAATGGAATAAATTATAGTTTTATTTCCATGGTTCATTTTTGAGGATGAGTATTTCGAAACTGTTTCGATGCACTGTGCACGAAGAAACAATAGCACGTTTAATTTTCGAAATTTTCGAAGACTACTGAAAGCAAGTACTAGTCTCCTCTGTAAAATCAAATTTGAATCGTGATTATACCATTTTTTAATTTTTTTTGGTAAGATACACCATTTTGGAGTTAAGCATCGAAGAGATGCGACAATTAATGTTCGGAGAGAAGCATCGAAAATTGTATATAGGTAAATTGCTCCATGATGTTTGAGCTTGAAGAATAACTAACGATATGAGAATAATAAATAACCTCGCATCGTCCCCCAAAATCTGTTTATCTGCTATTAAACCGTTCAAAAATTGCCCCACTCTTCCTCCCTCCCATCTCCAAAACAATCTTCCACTTTCCCCGCTCTCTACTCGCGGAAACTCGAAGAAACAATCACTCAGGCATCGCGAAAACCTCGTCTGCCAATTTTCCCGAGCTTTTCCTTTCTAACCCAAACCGTGCGAATCGATACGCACCCTCCTCCCCTATGCGAACACCGTGGAACACGGGAAGGGCGGTGAGGCGCGGGGGTGGATTGTCTCTGTCATTTACCTGCACCTTCCACACCGTCTCTTGCCCTTCGCCGCCACGTCCGAATATTCCTGGCAACCCCTTTCTGCAACCTGGCACCCTCGACACGCTCGACCCACCCTCCCTCCGATGCTGCGTGTAGCCGTCTCGCTCTAATCCAATTAAAAACGGCGGACGATCGCACGAAACAGCGGCTCATCGACCGCGGGAATTTTAATTGATGTTACAGGTACGAGAGGGTGGCGGAGCTGCTCTGGCTGCTGTTCTACAGAAGCGGGATATAGAAACGGACTCGAGGGGTGGTTTCCCCCCTCCCACTGGGGCAAAGCAGACGAGGGTGGAGGAATGGCTGGCGGAGGGATGATGGTCTGTCAGCGGGACGCGTTCCGGCCAACTTTCGCCGACACGGATCCCACCTCTTCAGCGTGTCGCGCGGAATCGTGTTCAACCATCGGCTGTAGCCCGTGTTTACGCGCGGGGGTGCTTGTGGAATGCGAACCGGGGACGTGGGTT